ATATGAAGAAGCCCAGTAAGCCTGAGATTTAGCAGATTTTAAAATCCCAATTCTACCATTTGCTTTTTCTCCTGACCAGGGTCAACAAATATGGCATATATTACCAGTTTTCATTTCTTAAAAGCAGCTAAAATAAGGCAATGTGTGACTGGGCCCACTGGTCCTCATGTTAGGGCCAGTGTTGGGAAGTGGGTGGATCCAGGCTCTCTGAGAATTAAACTTTAATCCAGTGCCATATAAAATGTTCCATTAACCCTAAGAATATAGGACTGACTCCTACAGAGAGACACAACTTCTTTCTCATAGACTAGGGAGAAACCTGGCTGCTACCAAGTGCTATAACTCATTGAAAGGTTGACCACCCTATTTAAACTTTGAGCCTCCCTGTACCAGACACAACTGTCTTCACTTTTTTCAGCTTCTATCATAGGGTGTGACTTAACTATTTATTAGATTTATTGTTTGACTCCCTCCACTAAGACATAAGCTGCTATATCTCCAGGGGCCTGAACAGTGCCTCTGCCTCTTCTACCTTTTCTGACTCTCCAGCCTCAGCCTCTGTCTAACAACTGTGTCCCTGACTCTCTTACTCTCTTACCATCCATAAGATCTCGTTCCACGCCTTAGTTCCTGCTTTTGTGTGTCCTCATTAACCGACTGCTTAGCTTGCCTGGTGGCTACCTAACTAGGGTAGTCCTAATGTGGCAGTCCCTCTGTCTTGACTTGTCAAGATGGGCCAAATGAAATAAGCAAATGAAATCTTAACCTACGGTTACCTATAAGCTTACACTAACAAAAAAATTATTCACTGTCAAATAAATATGTTTATTATGTGCTTTATTATTTGTGGGCTTTCCAAATATATATTCTAAATATTTTGTACTGATAGCCTTCCAAATGCTTAACGTTGGTTTTTATCCTAGACTCTCACATAAATATCTATATTCAGATCTTCTCAAAAGGCAAAAGAACGCCAAATTAATTTTTAAAGCTTCAATTTTGTAGCATTATCTGGCTTATCCTTGATTTTATTAGAATATTTTGTCATGTACTAACCAATTGCAAGAATCTGAGACTACAGCTTAAAAATTCACTGCAAGAGTGCACAGAAGTAGAAGTCTATAAATCACATGACTTCACTTGTCTTAAGTACATACAGCTGTAGGATTTGTCTAAAGCAAGATTCATTATAGCTTTAAATGCCTAGTAACCATTAAGTCTTTATCAAGCCACCTGTGATTTAAACTTTCTTCTTTAACACCATGTCCATAGTCCATAAAGTCGACTAACTTCTTGCCCATAGGGAAATTACTTTCAATGTGTCTTCTGTTCCCTTTCACTGAATACTGTGATTCTGTCATAGAGTTACCTTGGTGTCACCTTGGTGAGCAGCCA